AAAAAAAAAAAAAAAAAAAAAAAAAAAAAAAAAAAAAAAAATCCACCAACCCAGCAATTTCTCTTCTAGGAATTAAACCCTACAGATACAATCATTTATCCAACAGCTATATATGAAAAATGACATACATGCAAGGGTTTTTTTTTTTTTTTTTTTGAGATGAAGTCTTGCTCTTATTCAACCAGGCTGGAATGCAGTAGTATGATCTCAGCTCACTGCAACCTCTGCCTCCTGGATTCAAGCGATCCTACTGCCTCAGTCTCCCAAGTAGCTGGGATTACAGGCGCCTACCACCACACCCAGTTTAGGTTTGTATTTTTAGTAGAGATGGGGTTTCACCGTGTTGGCCAGGCTGGTCTAGAACTCCTGACCTCAGGTGATCCACCTGCCTCAGTCTCCCAAGTGCTGGGATGACAGGCGTGAGCCACCATGCCCAGCCCTGTGCAAAGTTTCTCATCATAGATTGTCTGAAATAGCAAACGACAGGAAACAAACGTTGATCCAGAGGACATTGGTTACGTAAATTATGATACATCCATTTAATAAGAATGCCATGTAGCCATAATAAAGAATGAGGGCACTCTTTTTTTTTTTTTTTGAGACAGAGTTTCGTTCTTTCGCCCAGGATGAAGTGCAGTGGCACAATCTCAGCTCACTAAAACCTCCACCCTCCAGGTGTAAGCGATTCTCCTGCCTCGGCCTCCCAGGTAGCTGGGATTACAGGGGCATATCCCACCACGCCCAGCTAATTTTTTTATTTTCAGTAGAGACAGGGTTTCACCATGTTGGCCAGGATGGTCTTGATCTCTTGACCTCGTGATCTGCCCACCTCAGCCTCCCAAAGTGCTGGGATTACATGCGTGAGCCACTGTGCCTGGCCCGGATGCTCTTTATGTACTAAAATTGAATGATCTGTAAACTATTACTGTGAAGTGGACAAAGCATGGTGCTGAGCAGTACGTACAGAATGTTATCATTGATGTAAAAGCACGGTGTGTGTGCAGGAGTGGAAGACTGCATTTCTTTACACATGCCTGGAATGTGCTCTGGAAATATATTCAACAGTGCTAGCTTATGGGAATGGAGAATAACCTGGTCAGGGGACAGGAGAAGCAGACTACACTGTAAACCTTTGCACTTTTAAAATCTGTATGAACAGATTCTCTATTCAAAAATAAATAGATATAATAATAAAAGTGTAATAATAACAACCAGTATTGCTTGCTTGGGAGATGGAGAAATGAATATTCCCATACACTGCCAGAAGGGATGTTAGCTAGTTCCTTCCTGGAGAACAATTCAGCATCAAGTACCAAAGGCCTTAAAAAATACATTCCTGCCCAGCAATTACCCTTCTAGGAATTTATCCTAAGCAAACAATCAGATATATACAAATATTTACATACAAAGATGCTCATTGCAGTGTTATGATCCCAAACAATTTGCCAACATCAGGAGATGTTAAATCAAGCAGTTTTTTTTCTCTGTAATGGAACACTAAGCAGCCGTAAAACATCATGTTCCAGTGGAAAATTTAATAACATGAGAAAATGGGCACAATAAATTGTCGAGGGAAAAAAGCAGGTTACCAAACAATAAGTGCTACATTATCCCAATTTCGCAAAAGAAAAAACGTATTTTCGGAGGAAAAAGTGGCTGGATGGATGTAAGCAAAAATGTTAACAGTGCCTATCACTGGTTATGAGATTTTTTCCTCTTTATGCTTCTCTGTATTTTCCAAAGTAAACATATATTACTTTTACAATCAGATAAAAACAACAGATATTTTTTAAAAGCAAGAAAATAGCAGCTTTCTAGAAAATTGTAGAGTACCATAATCACCCACACACTGGCCTCATGAAATAGGAAGGCTCATCTCCCTCCACATCCAGAGCAAACCTACATTTTTTATTTGGCTTCACTTTTTATTTTCCCTGTTTTCCTTGAAGAACCTCCCATGTGATCACATTTATGATGCATATACATAAAGTTGAAGAGATTGGCTCTGAAAAAAGAACTATTAAGCCATTTATCAGTGGATCATTACACCTAATGGACTTTAATCCCTTAGCAATCACTAAAGCTTACATTATTTAGCTACTTTATTATAACACTACAAAGCAGGGATTTTATCAGCTGTAGAAGCTGCTGTTGTAGGTGTGATGGTTTTTGGAAAATTAATCCCAAATTTCAAGCACGTTCAAGCATAAATCTGTTAAAAGATTCAGAGTAGGGTGTACACCCTTCAAATTAAAAAAAAAAATGTTTTTAACAGAGACAGGGCTTCACTGTGTTGCCTAGGCTGGTCTTGAACTCCTGGGCTCAGGCAATCCTACTGCCTCCATCTCCCAAAGTGCTGGAAGTACACATGTGAGCCAGTGCTCAGCCTACCTGTCAAATGTAAAGTTAGTCTTTTAATATCCAAGGTCACAGAGCTGGTGCAAAAGATTGATACATTCCTGCTTTAAGCCCATATAAATCTCTCAAAAGCTATGGAAGGAAGTTTCTCAGGGAATCCTGTTCTGGTTGACTATGAAAGCAGGACAGTAAGAGTAATATATATGCATTATTTTATAGATGGAGTCTTGCTATGTTGCCCAGGCTGGTCTTAAACTCCTGGGGTCAAGCAATCCTCCTGCCTCAGCCTCCCAAAGGGCTGGGATTACAAGTGTGAGCCACTGTGCCCAGCCAAGAGTAATGGATGACTGAATCTATCAAGCTAACAGTCTCATTAGACATTCAGACAAAAATGGCATACAGTTCAACAAGAGCTGACAGACACAGGCGAGGCAGGCAAGGCAGTTCACTGCTACGAGATAGCTGAAGAAATATGGAAGCAGAAGTTTCTTGAAGAAATTCAAAATACATACATATATATTGATATATATATTGACTCTATTACCCAGGCTAGTGCAGTGGCATGATCACAACTCACTGAAGTCTGGAACTCCTGGGTTCGGTGATCCTCCTGAGTAGCTGGGACTGATATGGGAGGGGGGCAGGGAAGTGCTGCGTAGAGAAAGGTGGGTCCCTGGCTAAGGCTTCACCCTTGGGCCCTTGCCCACGGACCTAGGTGAGGACAGGCACTCCCGCCTTTGCGCCCAAATTTTGCATTTTCTAAGGCCACCCTGGCCTGCCACGCCCCCAGCCTGGGCCTATAAAAACCCAATACCCTAGCAGGCAGACAGGCAAGCAGCTGGATGCTGTTAGCAGCACGCCAGTGGAAGAGCAGCCGACAGGCACCAGCAGGCCTTTGACCGGTGGGCAGAACGACACGGAGTTTGGCCAGAGCAGGTGGAGAGGAGTGGGCCTCAGAGTGGCTGACTCCAGGGAAAAGCCATCTCCCTTTGGCTCCCCAACCTGCTGAGAGCTACTTCTACTCAATAAAACGTTCACTCATTCTGCAAGCCCACGTGTGATCCGATTCTTCTGGTACACCAACGCAAGAACCCGGGATACAGAAAGCCCTCTGTCCTTGCGACAAGGTAGAGGGTCTCATTGAGCTGGTTAACACAAGCCGCCTACAGATGGCAAACTAAAAGAGCATCCCATAACACACACCCACTGGGGCTTCAGCTGGGAACGCTCATCTCTGGACACTGCCATGGGGTCGGAGCCCCACAGCCTGTCCGTCTGTCTGCGCCCCTAGAGATTTGAGCATCGGGGCACTGAAGAGGCGAACCACACCTCACCGCACACCCTGTGAGAGGGCCAAGGGAGACTTTCTCGTCTCAGGACCACAGATGCACACCACCACCAGTCAGGCTAATGTAAAACAATTTCTTTGTGGGCTAGGCATGGTGGGTCAAGCCTATAATCCCAGTACTTTGGGAGACCAAGGCAGGCGGCTCACCTGAGGTCAGGAGTTTGCAAGCAGCCTGTCTAACATGGTGAAACCCCATTTCTACTAAAAATAAAAATAATTAGCTGGAGTAGGCCAGGCACGGCGGCTCATGCCTGTAATCCCAGCACTTTGGGAAGCTGAGGCGGGTGGATCACAAGGTTAGGAGTTCAAGACCAGCCTGACCAACATGGTGAAACCCCATCTCTATTACCAAAAAAAAAAAAAAAAAAAAAAAAAAAAAAAAAAAAAA